TCGAAGCAGGAGGATGAAATCAACGCTGAATCTGTGCAGGGAAGCACCAGTAATTCAGGAATTTCTCTGGGGTTACATGGTTGGTGGTTCTTTGAGGTTAACACAAGGCAAAGGGGTTCTGCTGAATGGAGCCTGTAATTAAGGATGCTTCTTTTGGAGATGTCACTAGTTAAGACTGACAAGAGACATCAGGGGAAGAGAAGAGAAGGGGAAAGGCAGGGCTGGAATGATTACGGGCAAACAACCTCAGCAGAATTAGCAATTTCCTCACCACCTGGTTAGTCATTGTCAGACTGTTCTTTGGTATCAGCTTAAGATCCCATTGGCACCATGACAACCCTAGAACTGTTCTGGAGAATATCTGGCTTAACACGAGCTGTTCAAACATTCACCCTGTTCAGGGAATTAGTTATCCCATTCTCCTCACCCCTGGGATACTGGGAGTCCTGTGGGTTTGAGAAGAAGGAGCTTCACACTGACAGGTAAAACCCCTGCAGTGATCTTACCTTTGTGCAGCTGAGCAGGGACAGAGTAGGACACTTTATAAGGAGTTCTTTTTAGAGAAACCAGGGCACCAAGCATTTAATTTTTATTATTATCAAGTATAGACACCCAGCAGCACAAAACAGTGATGGTCTCACTGCAACACTGGCGGAAGTTACTCTGTGCACTTGATTTGGGAAGGTTATTTATGGTGGATACATGTCTTCTGGAATGGCGCAGTCTGACCTGGGCATCTGGCATCTGGTGATGGCTTTTGCACAGAGGATTTCCCATGTTTTGTTGCTCACAGGAGGAGATGCTGATGTAGTGGAGCATCAGCTCATGTGAAAAGGCTTCACATGAAAGGCGATGGTTTTAAACTGAAAGAGAGCAGGTTTAGATGGGATACTGGGGAGAAATCCTTGGCTGTGAGGGTGGGGAGGCCCTGGCACAGGTTGCCCAGAGAAACTGTGGCTGCCCCGTCCCTGCAAGTGTCCAAGGCCAGGCTGGATGGGGCAACCTGGGCTAGTGGAAAGTGTCCCTGCCCATGGCACGGAGGTGGAATGAGATGATCTTTAAGGTCCTTGCAACTCAAACTGTTATGTGATTCCATGATTCTGTAATCCTTTTTCTGTTCCCTGCTTGGCTTTCTCCAAGACCTGATGATTGTGTCTTGGCTCAGTGCTGATGGTTCCTAGGATGTGTTCAGAGGGTTTTACTGGCTGGTAATGGATAGTTTCACAATTAGGAGATTTGTTAATTGGCCTTACTCGGTGTATGAATGAGGCTGTGGGCTGGTTAACAAGGCACAGGAACTCTGAATGGAAAGGGCATTCCTGTCTCCATCACCTTGTGACTGTGGTGGGACGGGGTTTCACCAGTGTCCGGGATAGACTCCTCGGGGGCTGCAGCTCCTGCCGAGGGGAGGCGGAGGGGCAGGGACTGAGCTCTGCTCTGGGACCAGGGACAGGACCTAGGGAAGGGCTGGAGCTGTGCCAGGGGGGTTGGGATGGATCTCAGGGAAAGGTTCTTCCCCCACAGGGTGCTGGGGCACTGCCCAGGCTCCCCAGGGCAGTGGGCACGGCCCCAAGGCTACCAGAGCTCCAGGAGCGTTTGGACAACACTCTGAGGGCCAGGGTGGGATTGTTGGGGTGTCCTGGGCAGGGCCAGGAGTTGGACTGGATGATCCTCATGGGTCCCTTCCCACTCAAGATATTCCAGGATTCCATGAGCCCAGGCTACAGCTGGAGCAGGGGAGCAGGAAGAGGCGCCTGGAGGCGGGGGATGAGGTGGAGGTGAGGGATGTTCATGGAGAGCATCCATCATGAGGGATGGATTCTGCACAGAGCTGGATATTCCAGTCAGTTCAGCCAGATCTGGGGCCTTTCTGACAAAGTCTCTCATTTTCTGTCACCCGGTCTGTGTTCTTGTTCGGGCAGTAAAGAGTTTGTGCAGAGATAAGGGGGAGCAGAAATCTGGGAGGAAGTGAGTTCAGAGATAAGACCAAGCTCCCTGTGTGCAGTGGGTACACAACGTCATACACAATGTCAGCGCTGTCACCTCCCTGCTCTGTGCAAGGAGATCTTCCTCCTTCTGCTCCCCTGAGCTGTCTGGGATGGCACAGTCAAAAAAACCCCTTGAAATCCACCTCTGGGCTGTGAAATGTTGGGGGAGATGTGAATAAGTGCACATGGACTGGTTCTGTCTAATTTATGTCAGCCTTTGCATTTAAACAATTTCATGTGCTGTTCAAACCCTCTCCACCATCCCCCCAAAGGAGATGAAATGCAGATCTTTTCAAATATTCATGACCTCAAATGACCAGTCATTGGAGGAAATTTTCTTTAATAGGTACAAATAATAAGAGAAATGATGGCTCCTGCTCACCGAGCTGGTCTTCAGAGCTTCCTTCTTCCTAGCAAATATTTATTCTTCTTAATGTGACAGATGTGAACCTTTATTAGAAAACTTGCACCTGTCAGGAAAAAGAAGTATCCTGCACAGAATTCCCTAGGAGAACCTGGGGCTTGTCTGCTGGCTCCCCATGCTCCACAGAATTTTTTAAGGTCAGGTTGGACGGGGCTTGGAGCAACCTGGGCTAATGTCCTTGCCCATGGCAGGGGGTGGAACAAGATGGGCTTTAAGTTCCCTTCCAACCCAAACCATTCCATGATTTTATGATTCTATGAATATTCCCTGGCAGGCAGGAAGCACTCAGATGGGTAGAACTGCTGCTTGTTGTGTTAATAAATGGACTTATTTGAATTTCAGAGTATTGTCTTATGTGCTGCCACCATTAGAGGTAATTGTGTAAGGTGAGGAGTTGTAAACCAGCTAATTCATGCTTCAAATTATCCTGGAGCAGCAAAAGTGCTTTTTTATTCTAGTCACTGCTCCTTTCCACAGTTTCATTCTCCCCAGTGTAGAATCACAGAATATTCTGAGTTGGAAGGGACCCACAAGGATCATCGAGTCCAACTCTTAAGTGGACTCAGAGATCCTGCTGAGAACTTAAAAATTCTTTAAAAAAACAAAACAAACAAATAAAAAAAAAAACAACAAACCAAGTTCGTTTTAGATAAAAAGTGCAGTAAATTTTTTGTAACCATTAATAAATTGTGTTTTACCAGAGCTTTACCTGACTCCTGAAATTTGGGGTCAGTTCATTATTTAATCTTACTGAGGTAGAAGCACTGAGTAGAAATAGCTTATTTTAGACTCATTATCTAATATCAGTTTAAAAAAGTGAATTTTTGAGCTGTGACAGTGCCAGGAAGCCCAAAATTATCCTGATAATCCCTTATCCTGGGTGCTCTGGGGTCTGGTCTCTGCCCTAAGGTACTCACAGTGGTTTCATGGGAGAGTCAGAGCAGAGATTATCTGGGACCAAAGATGGGGGTTGATTATTCTGTGCCTTTTATCAGTCACAGAAACCTCCCCTGCAGGTCCCATCCAAGACATTCCAGGGCAATGCCTCATCGGCTGCGTCATCCCAGACTGTTGGGATGGGCTGTCGCCACAGCCCAGCGTTACCAGGGAAGAGCCTCACATGCCTCCAAGGGAGGAATCTTTGGGCTCTTCAAGTTACAGAGCCCTGTTAAATTGGAGATCAACTTCATGGATATGGAGCTGGAGCCAGGCTGGGAGAGCTGGGGGGTTCACCTGGAGAAGAGAAGGCTCCAGGGAGACCTGAGAGCCCCTTCCAGTGCCTAAAGGGGCTCCAGGAGAGCTGGAGAGGGACTTGGGACAAGGGATGGACAGGACAAGGGGAAACGGATTCCCACTGCCAGAGGGCAGGGATAGATGGGATATTGGGAAGGAATTGTTGGCTGTGAGGATGTGGACGCGCCGCCCCCCCCCCCCCCCCCCCCCCCCCCCCCCCGAAAAGTTTGCCCAGAGATGCTGTGGCTGCCCCTGGATCCCTGGAAGTGTACAAGGCCAGGTTGGAGCAACCTGGGATAGTGGAAGATGTTCCTGCCCATGGCAGGGGGTGAAACTGGGTGGGCTTTAAGGTCCTTTCCAACCCAAATCCTTCTGATTCTGAGATTCCAGCAGAGCCAGGCAGTGGATTGCAGGATGAGTCTCTCCTAAATACAAACTGTGGACCAATTTGTCCTTTTCCACACCTTTTTCATGGATGCAACTTGTCATAAAAACGTGATCCACCTTCTTGTGATGCTCAGGAGTTCTGAAGTCCCCGACTGGTGTCCCCCAGGGAAATGTGCCTTCTCTGTAGCTCCACAGGTACCACACAGGCTTTGTAAAATCATCACTTCCTTGATGGGCACTGAAAAGAGACATTTTCGTGTCTAAACATCTGAGGGTGTGTCTGAGACAAGAAAACCTCTGGGTTTGCAGCCCCTGGGGCTAAAGCTATAACTGTGTATGCGGAATATTTTTATTTTCTATATATTTATGCACACACACACATATATAAAAATATATCTGTATACATACATATATATGCACAATAGCAGAGAGTGTAGTTCCAAGAGTATATTTTGATTAAATGTAGTTCCAGGGGTGTTTATTCCCCACTTCTGATGCACCTCCTTGCCTCTGGACTCATCCTCATTGGGGTTTCTGTGCCACCCCTGTGTGAGCACCCCACACTTGGGACTGTGCTCTGAGGCACAATTTAATCTCTGATTTAGCAATTCCCATCTTTTTCTAATTCAGAATCCACATCCATTGGCACTTCAGAGACCGTTTGGGAAACCCTGCTTTATTTGCTCTGTGCTTTCATTTCCATTTTCCATTAGGAAATAATTCAATACCTGCCTTTTTTTCCAGCAGCCAGAAAGTTGAGCTGGGCAGACTTGTAAGGATTAATGTTTGTGAAGTGCTTTGAAAACATTAGGTGATTGTTTACTCACTGATCAAAACAACACACATTTTTGGGAGATGGTGTCATTACTGCCCTCTGGAATACTTTGTTCAAGGGCACTTGGAGAATTCCAGAATGGTTTGGGTTGGGAGGGACTTCTGGCTTTTTTCTCCTCTAGGGAAAGGAAGATTTTCCTCCCCCAGTTTGCTCTCCCTTCTGCACGGGGCTGGTAGAGATGCAGAGGCAAAGCTCAGAGCTGTGTCTTGGTCCTGAAAAAATTCAGAGAGAGAAAACAACCAAAAAACCCCTGGAGAAATGGTTTCGTTAGAGGAATTTGGGGGAAAGAGTGGTTGGGGGATTTCTTGCTGAAGTGACTGGTGTCATTCTTCAGGCTGTTTTACAATCCAAAGGAACACACAGAGTGCTCTAAAAAAGGGAATTTTGGAACAAAAATGAACTCTTAAGTGAGCAAAACTGTGTTGTTCCATGTTGCTCTTTTTGCAGGACCCGGTGAAACACAGGTTAGTTCCCTCTTTGCACATTTAAATAGTCTATTTATGTAGTGGATTAAATTTCTCCAGCTGTATTCTAACCTCCTGTCCTTAAAACTCAAGCTCTTTTCTTCAATGCCACCAAATAACTAAATTAATACATCACACATTGCAATTCTTATTCACTTTCCCCTAAGAATTACTTAATACTTGGGTGATGAGTCTCTTCTTAGTCAATCATTAAGGAATTTTTGTGCTAACTTTCCTTTTGGCAGCTACTTGGTTGAATTTATATCACGATGTTGGGCAATGAACTGTTCCACAGTGAACATTTTGAATACATCTCCTGATTTCTGAGTGTTTTCTTCATATATGAGGGTTGAATTATGGGATTAGCCAGAACATTATACAGTATTCTGCTGGGGAAAAGTAAATTGTCTGTGCATGAATTTCTGCTTTACAGTTCTGCTTTATAACCGTCACCGGAGTGAATTGGTGAGAACTAACAGCCCTGTGGCCACTCCGCAGTAATTTTTATACCTTTTCCTTTCTCGGGTGTATCAAAGTTTTACTAATTTTCCTGCATCAGAAAGCTAATATAAGAGTTGAGCTCCTGCCTGTTCCCTGGAAGGATGATTTTCCCCCAAATCATCAGGAGCATGTGCTGGTTGGTTAGAGGAGGTGGGCAGGAATATGGTCCAAGAATGTAATAATTTAAATTAGGATTTAAATTTTAAAGTCCTGCCCCCTTCTCCACCCCCCAGAAATCTCAGTTGACTGTGTTATTCCTGGGAGGATTTAGTGCTGCAAACCTGGTGGGGAGGAAAAGTCAGCTCTAGAGATGCATTCCCTGAGTTTATGGCAACAGGGGCTGTTTTCCCACTGCAGAAGCACAAACAACTTTGTCCCTTGGACACACGTGTGCAGGTGCTCGTGGAACTGCAGAGCAAGGCTGCAAACATTAGTTTTCAAAATATCTTCTCCTTCTCTTCCTTCTCCTTTTCCCTCTCCCCTCCCCTCCCCTCCCCTCCCCTCTCCTCTCCTCTTCCTCTCCTCCGTTCCCCAGGCCCCCTTTCCCCTCCGGTCCCCTCCCCTCTGTTTCCCTTTCCTTCCTCCTTCTCCTTTCTTTTTCCCTTTCGCCCTTTCCCTTTTCCCCTCCCCCTTCTCCTTCTCTCTCTCTTCCCTTTTTCCTTTTCCCTTCCTTTCCCTCTCCCTCCCCTCTCCTGTCACAGTGGTTACAACCACTTTCCTAGAGACAACAATATCTCATTGGGAGCTCCCTATAAACTGCTCCCAATGCCCCTTTGAGGCCATTCCTTGAGTTCTGTCGTTCAGAGCTCCCTCTGTACCTGCGTTGGAGGGAGAGTTACTTGACTCTTCTGGTTCATAATGACCGTGAGAGACAAACCCCCTGTGCTGGGAGTGCTGAACCATGAGCATTATTGCCACTGTTGCCTCTGGAGTGCTGCAGCACCTGAGTGCAGCTGCAGGGAAGGTGACGGTGTTCCCTTTTTCTCCCTCCATCTGCAGAAAGTTAAACTTCTTCACTAAAAAAATTAGTGTCCTATTGATTTTTAAAATCTGCTCTTAGTGTCTTGATTGCTGAACTCCTCTGCCCTCTACCCCTGAGCTAAACCCATTCACTTTTCATGGACCACGTGCTAAATAAGAACAGAAAATGTCCCTTTTCTTGTGGAAACTGGAAATTCAGAATTAACAAAACCTAGTCTTTTTTTTTTTGCCTTTGAAACAGGCAGATGGGATCGTTTATCATTTGCTAAAGTTTGTTTTGACTGAATTCTGATGTCAAATAGCATCCCAGGCAAAAATTTAAGAATAAAATACCATATTACTGACTTACAACTCTGTTGCTGTTGGTTTAAACTAACTATGGCGATAAAATCACTCTCATTGGCACAGGTTCTGTGAGCAGAGCAGTAATTGTTTGTGTATAGTATTTAAAACCAGTTGTGTTTCTGCTGTTACATTAATGGAAAGCATATTGTGACATCTTCCCCTCAGCTCCCTGTCTGAACTAACTGGATCTGGAATTCCATTTGGCTGCACCAGAGAGACTCTTCCCTCTATTCCCCACCTAAATGCCTTCTCAGTGAATAAAGGAGCTGCTGAACAGGTTAAGTTTTTTAAGAGAACAAATCATTCTGCTTTTCAAATTGGCAGTGCACTGGTCTTTCCTGGCTACCTGCTGCTCTGAGGCTCTCCAGAGCCATTGGAAGCTCTTTCTAAAATGCTTTAGGTTGTTGAAGCACGTTTGCTCTTAAATACCCACAGCTCATGGCCCAGGGAATGAGTCAGGAAGTAGGGAAGGGTCGAGTGTGGATGTTGTAGAAACCCCAGTCCCAATTCCTCAATAACAGGATAAAGTGGAGTTTCATGCTCTGGGACCTGTCCTCCTTCCTCTTCATAAAATGTCTTTTTTTTCCTTTTTTGTCTGTTTGGGAAGAATGCTCCAAATGAAGGACTTACCCTATGGAATGTTAGTGTCCTTTAAAATACAGGTTTATGCAGTTCAGTCAGAAAGGAAAACTGAAGGAGAGCAGTAATGGGTCAATGACTAAACAATTCATCATTTTAAAAGGAAAAAAGGGGTGAATCCCCAGTAACAGTGAAAAATCTAAATGCTGGGTGATTCCTCTGATCCTTTTGAAGCCGCACAGCTCAGGAGAATCAGTTTGAGGTGAGTGTATCAAGCCACCCCTGCAATCTGTCTTATGGAAAAAATCCATGGAAAGCTTCCCAGCCCACACAGAGCAGGGTCTTGGCTCTCAGTGCCTCAGACTGATCTCCCTGTGCTTCACACAACGATGCATCTGCATTGTTCTTTGCAGAAGAATAAGGGGAAAAGTTGCTGCTGATGGTTCAGTGTTTCTAGCACTGTGCTTTTTGCAAAATCCGCAGTCGATGCTTCAGGGAAGTCTGGAGGATGCTTAAAACCAGGAATATTCAGCTAGTGCTCCTGGAGGCACAGGTATCCAGGAGCTAAATCTTGTACATCATCTTCCTGCCTCCTTTGGTGTCCATAAAGAAAAGATCTGCTCCTGGTTTTTGCAGCTTTGATACAAAAGTCTTTGGTGTGACTGTGAGGGAGGCAACAAGTTTAGTTAATCCTCGCTCTGGTAATTAGGCTCTTTGTGGGAATTTGCAAACATCTGGGTGGCCGAGGGAGTTCCATTGTCCTCCAGGAACCCATCAGGAGAGCCCTGATTCTTCCCCCATTGCTGCCATCTCATTCGTGTGGTCTGAGAATTAAGATCTGTGAATTAAGATCTTAGTGAAAGGGATGAACAGTGGGCAGGTTGTCGTGGTGACATGAACACAAGGGCACTGTGTGTGTACATTTGGTGTGATGGAGTGGCACAGGAGAGACCCCTCTGCCTCAACTGAGGGGTCTTTCCCCATTTAAAGTCTCCCTGAGCTAACAAGTCTGACAAGTGGCTGCTATTTGAATTATCCATGAAAACAAGCCTAAGCTGAGCCCTGAGGTCACTCACTGTGTCAGCACAGTCAGAAGCTCAGGTCAGAAGGTGATGATTGCTCCTCACTCTGCCTTTTCTGCTTCTTTATAGCTGTATCATTTCAGGTGGGACATCAGGAGGAATTTCCTCATGGAAAGGGTGCTCAGGCATTGGAAGGGGCTGCCCAGGGAGGTGGTGGAGTCCCCATCCCTGGAGGTGTCCAAGGAACGACTGGATGTGGCACTCAGTGCTCTGGGCTGGGGGACAAGGTGGTGTTTGGTCACACGTTGGACTTGATGATCCTGGAGGTGTTTTCCAACCTAAATGATCCTGTGATATAAAACGTGCTCTGCTACTCTTTTTCACTGCAAGAGTGTTCCTGGAAAACCTTTCTCTCTGCTAATATCACTGCACTTCTCCGCTGGTATTTGCATTGCTGATTATTTGGCCTTGGGAGGACATTTCTCTGTTCTCAGCAGCTGATGGCTTTCCTTTCTAGAAGAGATGAATTTGTTTTTTCCATCTCTGAATAATTTAGGGACTATTCATAGCTTAAAAATATTACTTTGCAGAGTAACTAGGTCCTTATGTTAGGCTGCAAATGAATGTTCCACTGTATTTCCACCTGCAAAATACAAAACTGCTGCATGAAGTTTGTTGTTACAAAGCTTTGGGGACTCCAGACCAGTTTGTATTTAATCAATTTGTTTTGTGGAGGAAGGTTTATATCAAATCTGGCAGCCCTTTTAATAGGTAGGTTTCAGAATTGAAATTATGGCTGATTCTGCTTCCAAATGTGCTGTGGCATTAGTGTTGAAAAAATAAATCAAACAAAAAGAATTATTATTTTTCCTTCTCTTCATTGTAAAATGGGCAGATATTGTGTATAAAGAGATTTGTTTCAATTTTAAAAGGTTTTGTCATCCTCAGCAATAGCCCACTGATGTTGGTTACGAGTGGAGCCCCAGCCCAGGAAATGGCTCATAATTTGAAAAACAAATGTTTTCTGGCTGACCTGTATTAGAGAAAAACATTTAACCTGAAATCTTGAATTGAAGTGATGATGTAAATCAATAGGATGCCCTTGGTCGAGGCAAATACTCATTTCTTTGTTTGGGAGATGACAAAGTGAGGTGTGATACAGGTGAGACCCTCCTGTCCCTGGTCCCTCATAGATGGAGTGTGTGTAAAGATACCACACAAAGCATCGTTGCCCTCAGTGCTGCTGTGTCTGGGCTGAACAGCTTAAGCTAAAGGAAGGGAGGTTTAGATGGGATCTTAGGAAAAAATTCTTTATCATGAGAGTGGTGAGGCCCTGGCACAGCTTTCCCAGAGAAGCTGTGGCTGCCCCATCCCTGGAAGTGTCCAAGGCCAGGTTGGATGGGGCTTGGAGCAACCTGGGCTAGTGGAAGGTGTCCCTGCCCATGGCAGGGGGTGGGACTGGATGAGCTTTGAGGTTCTGGGATTCTGTGAACATTGTTCTTGCTTGGCGGCTTCTCTGGAGCTTCCTTCTTCTGTACCTGGGCTCCTTCCCTGTGCCTGTGGGGATGCTCC